CTCTGCCGCGCAGGCGGCCTTTCTGCAGGTGCTGGCGCTTCGTCGAATGGTTCGTCTACTGGAGCTCGGGCCGCTGCTGGCGCAATGGTCGCCGGCGCTGGCGCGCCGTCCGCCGTCGCCGGCGCCGCCGGCGGGGCTCGTCCGAAAATATCTGGCAATCGGCAGGGTTTGGCAATTCTACACCTGCCCGGCGTCAGCAAGTGGCCCGCTTGTTTTTGCCGGATGCCTTTTTGCAGCTTGGGAATTCCCAACAGTGGGACCCCTGATCAAACCACCGACCTTCACGCGGGCGGCGGTCGTGCCGCGGCGAGTTCATTCGCGCGCTGTCTGCACATGCTGGGCGCCCAGCCCGCTCGGCGGCGGTCGGCGGATTTACCCCTGAGCTTCTCGAGGCAAAACAGGATCGTTAAGGTCATGACAAGCACAGCTTATCACGACAGTGCTCGTCTGTTTCCAATATGCAAACGGGCTTGTACATCGCGCAAAAGGCATCGCACAATCTTGACCCCGTCAACGGTCAGCGATTGCACCTTCGGTGTGTAGCGAGCCACCTGCGTTAATTATGCGCGGCATGCTCGGGCATGCTCACGATTGCCAGGGCATCGTTCGCGTTCAAAGGGTTCGGGAATTGCTGCGTTTAGCCATCGCGCCGGTGGATGACTTGATAAATGCGCCGCGGGAGTCTCGTAGCGCATTCGAACATTGGTAAATGATCCGCGCGCACATGATACGCGCGCAAGTTCCCTGGCCTTTGGCCAGAGTCGACCATGGGGCAATCTCATCAACACACGTGCCAGCCGGATGATCCCTCCGGAATAGGCGCTGAAGGTCATCCTGCACGACGGCGACCTTACCACGGAACAAAATTTTGGAAAGGTCATTCCTGCGGTGTTTATACCCAGTGAAGTGGTTCACTTGCGCGTTGAGATAGGAAGGCAAGCCTGTCCGCGGTTCTGCGATTGGTCTGCACCATCTCTTATGCGAGAAGGCAGGTCTGCAGATAGTGTCCACAGCGCGTTGTGCTCGTGAGTTCCCTAGGTCAACGCCAGTGAATTCGTCGAAACTACCTCCAGAGGCCAACCCCCTCAGGAATGCACGTTGGGACACGCCGCCCAGACGTCCACAACGCTCCAACAAATCTGCGCTGTCCCGCCCATAACACGGGGCTAGGACAATCGTAGATATTTCGGCGCGCGCGCCTGCTATGCCGAAAAGTAGTGCCAAGAAGAGACCGCCGTCATCTTACGATGCAAATTCTTCTGCTAGAACACCGGGGTGTAGCGCGGCACATCCTAGTCCGAGGTCATCACCACAATCGTCGTGGCCGTCTTCGACCTGTTTGGGTATCATGTATGGTTTGATGTCGGCTCCCCTATCCGCTTCTTGCTTTAGCCAGGCATCGGTTGGCAGTGCTGTTTGCATGTATGGCGCGTCCGCCTCGAAAGTAGGAATGGCGGGATTTGCGGGCGGCCCTCGTCATGCCCAATCGAGAGGGGAGGAAATCGATCATCAATGACGAACGCATCTCGCTTCTTTGGGCTCGTCGTTTGACCGCAGCCGCATTGCGGGGGCCGCGGGCCCCCGATGCAATCGCGTACATACATGGAGAACACAAGATGGCAACGGCGCCTTCGATTTGCATTCTGTCGGCATCAGAATGTCTTGGATCGCCATTTTAATGTCAAGGTCTAAGGTTGCGCGACGGACTACGTCGACCCGATTTGGTGCGCCGGCGTTCACTTGAAAATAATTCTTCGCATTCGCATTCGCACAGGTGAACACACTTAAGTATACATGTGTGTTGTGCTTCCCTTCGGTCCTGTGTTTGTCCGATTAGTCCACCATATGTGCTATCAGAGATCCCATTGTTTCGTATCGCCACTCAGCACGTGGTTGGTTGCGTCCGCACCCATCCAGATGATGTTCCTTAACGGATGCACACGTGCATTTCCATAAGTTTGTCTGGATTTTAGATACGAGGTACATGCGCGTATATATGAGCCACTTGCGCGTGCAGGCTCTGAAGAGCCTCTCGTATAGGTCTGGTGGTGGTCTCGGTGGTCCCATGATAATTGCTTGCATCAGGGGAGCGCGCGCTTCGGTTAGGAGGTTCCGTAATCTCTCATAGCGTGGCCCGGGACGCTTCCCTGGTAGTCCAAGATACCAATCAGCGGGTGAGGCCACCCAGAATAATGCGTAGTCTCCCGCCAACACGCCACCTAAGCATTGGGTTCCCACAGATGTCATTACTTCATTATGGACACGCCCCATATAACCTCAGCGGCGCAGTTCGGCGGTAGCCATTCGAACATCCTCGATAGCAACCGCCTTGGAATGAAAACGCTCACCCACTAAAGTTTTTGAGCACGTGGCCATGCGATCATGTGCCATATAGCACGTGCCCGCGCATCTGGCCTCAAGGCGCTGCAGCAAGGCTTGGCCAACGGGCCCGCCTGCCCCGGTCCAAGGAGATTGTCGAAGTGAGGCATGACGTTCGGCGGATCATCGCTCGAAAACATCCGCCCGTCCTCGTGGCTCGCGTCGCCCTGCTCGGCGGTGGTGTGCGACGACGATAAACCTGTGGCAGGTCATCTTCTTTGAGTGGGACGGAGCCCCCCAATCCTCCCTGGGCGTGGCCGCCCTGGACATGCTGGGGCCACCTGTGAGCCAGTCCCGTGCCTCTTCCACATGCGGGTGGAAGCGGTGCGTCAATGGGTCTGGCTCTATTTCTCCACCGTCTCCTTCACCTCGTGGTGGATGCCTGCCAGCAGCACGCGCGTCATCTCACGGCGATCCAAAGGGCGGCCCGATCGATGCCAATGATCCATTGTTACGTTGACCATCATGGCAAAAGCATCGTCGACCGCCTGGTCCATGAAGTGACTCAGGATTTCGCGACGGTACTCGCTAGTGTCCTGGCCTCTCTGAGATGCCTGCCCACGGTCAGCTTCCGTCTCGATGCCGTGCTGGGCAGCACCCCCAGCACGAAGTATAGGCGACGGCTTCTGCCGATTCCTCATTGTCAGGTCTGGGAGTGGCCTCCCCGTGGTATGGGCAGGGGATGGCCAGATGGCCCGATGGCGTCTTCTCTAGGGCGAGTACCTGTGCGCCTCTCCCCACTTGCACCTTGTAGGCGTTGATGCCAAAGAATATGATACGCCCCCAGCCTTCCTCCAATGTCAAGATCGTCCACTTTTGCTGCATGAGGTCAGGCCTAGGATTGCCGGCAGGTCCTCGCCAAATCCCTCGGCGATATTGCCGACGAACAAATCCACCTTGGAAGTCACCGGCTTGTTATCATGGCGGCACTGGCACGCAATCTTGAAGGCGCCAAGTTCATGGCATTGCGGCACCACTCCCGACGCCGTTGTCGTAGAGCAGCCGCTCCAAGTCCATAAGACGTGGCAAGTGTCGTTGTTGTCGGGACAGGTTATCAAACTCTCTGGCAGTGTTCGGCCACAGGCATGGCGCGGCTGGCGGGCACTCCGACGAATGAGGGCACGGGCGCTGTAGGTTCTCTGGCCCGCAGCGTTCGAGCGGGCACTCCAGCAGGTCGAGCACGATGGCCGAAACGGCACCTCCGCAGTGGCAGTGGCACGGCTGCGCCAGCCTGGCCAGTCACGATCCAGCAGCGGCGGCGCCCGACAAGACCCAGGGATCGGCTATGCGAGCCGACACGTGGCCAGAACGGACTGAAAGCCAAAAGGGCAGCGGACGTTGTGAGCAGCTCAACGTCCCTGGCCACACCCATCTCCTGCCTCACAGCAAAGTCGTGTGAGCACTGCCTTTACGTATAGATATACATAAACATATACACAGACGCATGCATGCATACACGTATAACTACAGCTGTAGCTCCACCTCAGCGTTTACATTTGCATAGGTGTATACATATGCAGTGACAGATCCGTACATCTGAATAGATACCAATAACATACACAAATACATGTAAGTACATGTACATATACTTAGACATGCACATATACGCAGACGTGTATACACACTCATATAGAAACGTATACGAATGCATGTACACCTGCGTGTGCACATGCAAATCAAAGATAGTTATACATATACGTACAAAAACACAAACATGTAAACATGTACACGCGCATATACGTACACGCAAACATACGAATGTACCTATACACAAGCATATGCATATACATGTACATCTACATGTACATGACCATACACATCTACATATTTTCATATATGTGTAAGACCTTCATCGCGGGAATAGATGTGCGAACCCTCCACGACAAAAAGAATGCATGTGCGAACCCTCCCCGCGATAAATGTGATGGTACGCGCTCAACATAATAAATCCAACCGAAACTCCTCCACAAAAGGAGTCGACTTCCTCTCTACAACAGGTATTCGCTTCTGAAGCCAACAGACACAAGTTTTAGGTTCAGAAGCCAACAGAAGCTGTCTCTCGCATGACGAGGAGACAGCCAACAGAGATCCAAATGAGGAGACGGAGGATGAGGATGATGGCCACGAGGAAGCGAAGAGAAGGGGAAACGCAGAAGCATACCATCCCGAGCACGTCGGAGAGAGCTCGTGAAGCAGATCTTTGGGGGCAGGGGGGAGACCTGGGAGAAGGAAGGAGAATGAAGCACCCATTGACTTTCGAGTTGAAGGTGCTGCAAGCCACGATTATGATGTGAAGCAGCACTCAGAAGATGAAATGAAGGAAATAAAGACCATTGGTTGTCTTATTTTGTTCCCCAAACCTTGTGACCGAGGGAGGAGGGGGAAGAGGGGGAAGCGGCTCTGGAGGGAGACAACGTTCGGCTCTGGGAGGAGGAGAAAAGAAGGACAGGAAGGATGAGGAGGAGCGAGGAACGAGGGAGATGGGTCTGCCTTCAAATGGGAGCGGGCACGTTGAATCACTCAGAAATTCACACGCAAAGCATGGCTTTTGGTACGCAGTTCACTCTCGGGGGAGCGCTGACGGCAGCTGGCCCAGGATACTGTTTACTGAGCCCCGAGGCCTTCCTCGAGGCAGCAAGCCGCAGGCCATGGACCAGCAACTTGCCAGAGACGCCCCCAGACACGAAGTGGCCGTCGTGCTTGTCCACCGCAAGGGCGCGGACGTCGTGGGTGTGGACGAACGCCGAATTCCGGAAGACCCACCTCCAAAAGAAGAAAAAACAAAAAACGGCATAAAACCCGCTGGCGCTCTGCACGGACTTCTTGGGTCTGCGCTGGACCCCGTCCCTGTCGCTCGGAGCGCACCAGGGACGGCGCCAGAGGCGCCGCCAGGGGTCCCAGCGCCGAGCCTAGAAATCCGTGCGGGACTCCGCAAGTGTACGTTCATGCCGTTGTTTCTCCTTCGGCACCTCTCCTCCGCGCCTGGCACATAGGCGAACGTCGAGACTTTGGCGTCGACGCCACCGGCCAAGAGCACGCCCGAATCTGGGCTGGCCGCGAGGCAGAGCACGTCGGCCTGGTGCTGCCGGAAACGGTGGAGGCACACGCAGGCCACCGCGTCCCAGATGTGCACCAGCCCGAGGCTGTCCTGAGGCGCACAGATGATGGGCCTGTTCTCCACCACCACCACCATAAGTTGGAGTGGGAGGGGGTCCTCCTCCTGCTCCTCCTCCTCCTCATCCTCCTCCTCCTCCTCCTCCTCCTCATCATCATCATCATCATCATCATCCTCCTCCTCCTCCTCCTCCTCCTCCTCCTCCTCCTCCTCATCATCATCATCATCATCATCATCATCATCATCATCATCATCATCATCATCATCATCATCATCATCATCATCATCATCATCATCATCATCATCATCATCATCATCATCATCATCATCATCATCATCATCATCATCATCATCATCATCATCATCATCATCATCATCATCATCATCATCATCATCATCATCATCATCATCATCATCATCATCATCATCATCATCATCATCATCATCATCATCTCTTCGTCCACCTCCTTCCCCCCATCCAACTTATGGTGGTGGTGGTGGAAAACGGGCCCATCAACAGAGACATGCTTCAAGCCTCGTCAAAAATGTCCAGACACGGAAGTTTAAATCCTGGAGCACGATGCTTTCGGGCACCTGTCGGAAAGCGCGTTCTTCAACGCTGAGAGGGTGGGGTCAGTTTTTCGACAACACCGCGTCCGAGCCAACAGGCATCCGTCAGCATTGGAGTAGCGCAGACCCCACAATCACCGAACTCAGAAGTCTTCTGTTTGTTTTTGACGAGGCTTGTAGTACTGTACGTCCTCCTCGGAGGCGCGCGTCCGACCCGAACACATAGTATACCCATCTTGTAGTATATCGATTCCCGAGCGGTGTGGCCAGAAAGCGCCCGCCACGACGCATGTACTGTAAGATTTCTCGGTGCACGCGTCGCCCCTGGGGAGGCGACACACACACATAGTATTAGTATGTTGGGGTAACGCCGATGTCCCCGCTGGCCACCATGTCGGAGCCCGCCGCAGTCAGAGCCCAAATGAGGGTCTGCTTGTCCTTGGCCTGCTCGACCGTCATGCTGGCCTCGCAGGTCCGCGTGGCGCCGGACCACTTCGTGATGCGGGAGTCCGAGCCGCCCGCGAAGATGCTGCTCGTGTCGGTGGAACACACGCTCATGACCCTCGCCTTGCCCACGGAGACCTCACGCCGCGGTCGGTTGGCCACGGAGAGGGGGCTCGAGAACCGAGTCGGCGGACCCTCCGCAGGCCAGCAATGACAAGACAAAGAGAGCAACGAGCTACTGACTTTGATTGCAGTTTGGTCCCTGGGGCTTTGGTTCGGCTGCGCCCAGACTTCCAACGCGCTTACCTTGGATGGAACGCGGGGGTCCTGAGCTCTCGACCCCAGTCGTGTCGAACGTATGGAGCTTGCGCCGTGTAAGTTGCTTCATGTGCGTCCGAGGGGCAGTGACAGGCCTTCAGAGACCCCAGCTCAAAAATTATCCTGGCGACGGACACAGGCAGGTGCAGGTGTGAGTGACGCAGGGCAGGTGGAACGAAGGATGGAGAGCTCCCGACGGGTGTGCCATACTGGGGCGGCGCCGTCATGCACGCGCTGCCACTGGGGCCGTCGGTGGGGCTCCCCGCGGAGCCACAACACACGCAGAGGGTGTGCCACAGTGGGGCGGTGCCGCCATGCGGGTGCTGCCGCTGGGGCCTTCGGTGGAGTTCCTTGTGGGGCCACATAGCGTGTGACAGGTGTGCCGAAGTGGACTCGGTTCCGCCATGCGGGCGCTGCCACTGCGGCCTTCGGTGGAGCTCCTCGTGGGGCCACGAAACCTGTGGGTGGTGTGCCGACACGTGGCAGAGGCAAGGAAGGACGAAGAGGAGGGAGGACAAGAGAGGAGGAGGAGGAGGAGGAGGAGGAGGAGGAGGAGGAGAAGGAACAGGAGGAGAAGGAGCAGGATGAGAAGGAGCAGGAGGAGGAGGACGCGGGGCGCTCTCTCATCAAAACGAAGGCTCAACACCACAGGATGGTCGGTAACAAGACAAACTGACACAAATTGCATGATTTGATCGAAACGCTGTGGATGCATGAGTTCCTGAGGCCCCATGATACAGTCAACCGCCCGCGGCGACCTTGTGCGAGTAGTCCACGCTCCCCGGCCCTCCGGCCAACGAGAAGAGGCGCAGCGAGCCGTCGTCGCAAGCGGCGCAGAGGTCGCTGCCCAGGATGCATAGCGACCACACTGCACCACCTGGCCCGTGCCGGTGAGCGGAAGGGGGAGAGGAGGAAAGGGCCCAGGGCGAGGGCGAAGGGGGAGGAGGACGCGGGGGGGAGGACGAGGAGGATAGCAAGGACGACGATGAGGGATGCGGAGTGGCGAGGCGAGGCGAGGTGAGCCCGGTGGCTAGTGGGGCCCAGGGGGCCGGCGCGGGCGGGCCGGGGCCCGTAGTAGTTAGGCGCTGGAGAAGCCGATGAAGTCGTTCTCCAGCGACTGCCAGAATACAGTGTTCGTAGCAAGTTCCACCCAATTTGTGATGTTCTTTCTCCCCAGGGATGAGGAGCGAGGAAAGACGAAGACGACAACGACGACCAGGAAGGGGCGGACACGACGATGACGACCAGACCAGAACCCTTCGGGGCCCATGAGGCGAGGCTGGCGAAGGGACAGCAAAAGGAGACGGAGGAGGAACCAGCAGCAAACGAAGAGGAAGGGCGAAGAGGAGGACGAGGAAGAGGGCGACAACGACAAGGAGAACGAAGCAGCGGGGACAGGAGAGAGGAGAGGATAGACACGGAGGATGGAGGATCGGGTGGGAGGGGAGGGCAAGGAGGGCCGAGGGCGGAGAGCGGGGGGGGGAGTGTAGAAGGAGGAAGGAGGGCGGAGGGAGGAGAGCACACGGAGGAGGGAGGAGGGAGGGGTGGAGGAAGGAGGGGAAGACGGGCTGGATGCCCCGCGCCTCCCGAGGACACGGCCGCCATCGGCCTCAGGGAGCACACGTCCCACTCCGTGATCTCCCTGTGGAGCCCGGCGCTCAACAGCCGGCAGGGCTCCTTGGCCGACGCCCCGGGAACCCAGCAGAAGCCGCGGACGTTGAACTTGTCACAGCCAGGCAGGGCGCTGTGCAGGTGCCAGGTGGAAGTGTCCCAAAGCTCCACCTGCTGGTCAGAGGGCTCCCTGCTCAACCTCCTCATCCAACTCATCCTCATACCCCTTCCACATCCACCTCAACCACCACCACCACCACCACAACCACCACCACCATCATCAACAGCAGCAGCATCATCATAATCATCATCATCACCATCATCATCAGCAGCATCATAAGCAGCCAGCAGCAACAACAACACACCACCACCACCACCACCACCACCAAAAACAAAAAAAAGCAGCAGCAACAACAACAAATGTTATGACTGCTCGCTCTGGACAGCTCGCGTGACACTCAACACGTCTATCCCAGACCCTCGGTACCCGCCCTCTTCGTCTTCGATCGCACCCCCTCTGGGGGGTATCTCTGAGAGCGGTCACTTCTGGAGAGGCGATTTCGGGGCGGTGAAGCGTCTGTTTGCTGTCTGTCTGCCTGTCTCTCTCTCTCTCTCTCTCTCTCTCTCTCTCTCTATATATATATATATTTCTTTTTCTCTCTATTTCTCTGTCTCGCCTTTCCCTTTGAAGGCGTTCTTTCTTCAGTCTTTTCTGTCTACACTGTGCTGTACAACGCTGCATTTTCTCACAACGGGGAGCACAAAAAAAGTGTAAATCAAAGCGTGCTCACCAGTCCGACCTCCGAAGCTCTGTTTAATGTAATGTTTTCTGATTTCAGAAACCAGAAACATCGTAAAGCACAATGCTTTCAATAGTCGGACATTCAAAACAATATGATTTACATTGTTTTCTGGTCTCCAAAACCAAAACATTATAAAACGCAGCATGTTCATCAGTCCGACCTCCGAAACACGGTGTATTGCACTGTGATTGTTTTGTCCGACGCCCGGAGCCCTAAACATTGTAAAACACATCGTTTTCAGCAATCTTCCTCCTCTTCCTCCTCCCCATCCTCGTCCTCCTCCTCCGCCTCGTCCTCCTCCCCCCATCCTCTCCCTCCAACTTCCCGGGTGAAAGGGAAGGGAAGGGACTGCATGCTTTTCCTTCCTGAAAGGGAAGGGAAGGAACCTCCTCCTCCTCCCCCTCATCCCCCTCCTCCGCCTCCACCTCCTTCGGAAGGGAAGGAACCTCCTCCTCCTCCTCCTCCTCCTCCTCCTCCTCCTCCTCCTCCCCCTCCTCCTCCTGTTCCTCCTCTTCCTCCTCTTCCTCAACAGTATGCTGCTCCTTCCTGAACTCCAGGAAAGGAAACAGTTCGTATTCCTCCTCCTTCCTGACTAAGAAGGAAGGTCAGGAACCACCTCCTCCCCATCATCGTCAGCATCACCATCAGCAGCACCATCATCATCATCATCATCATCACCACCATCATCATCATACTCATCATCATCCTCCTCATCATCACAAATCAGCACCATCATCAGCATCACCATCATCATCCTTCC